AACTTTCTTCCAGAGAAACAAATCAGCAATTCTGCTGAAACTTAAAGACACAGAATGTTGCCTGGGTAGTCCTAAGAGGTTAAGGGACTTAACAGATAGTAAGTGTCAGAAGGAAGGCTTAAATTGAGATCTTCTTGAATACAAGGACAGTTTTGTATTCATTATGCTACATGTTGTCTCAACTGTTTCATATTTTAATAAAAATGACATGAGTGATGTATTTGGTTGCAGAATAAAACCATAAGAACAAAGTGATGGGGACTCATATTTCATCATCAGTATTGAATCTTTAAAAGTTGTAATGAGTTGAAATAAGTCTGGGACCATGTGCTTTCAAGGTAGAAGGTTTCATTGACTTGCTCATTGCTATGACTTAATATTTCAGGGCAGAATCATACATACCACTTTAGTCTCAGAAAGGCGATTTACCCAAAATGCAAAGTCAAAGTGCAGACATTCAAGGTGAAAAATGTTTTAATAAAGTGGTCTCCATTGAGAACCTATTGAAACCATACCTTTAGAATACTTTAGAAAGTGATATTAAATAATAACTATATTGTCTCAAAAACAGTATTAGGAATTTTGAGACACTGTATATAAAGCATAGTTTGGAGTTATATTTAATAAGAAGAAAGAAAGAAGAACAGGTTTCAATATATGTGTCAAAGATATTTCAGTAGGAAAAGTGAGTAAGTAATTAAAAATTACCTGTTCTCTCCTCTCCTCATAGTCAAAGAATTTCATTTAAATAGTTTTATTTAAATAAATAATAATTAAATTTAATTCCATATTAGCAGGTAGTGCAGAATTCAACTCATATATATCTTATTTCTATAACTCCAGCTCTGTGTAGTCTATACCAAGGTTTGAACTCTTGTAATTTCACATTTTATGAAAGTAATTCCTATAGGATAAAACAGATTGTGGAAATATTGGAGGTGGAATGGCTTTAGAATATTACCTGTGGCCTGATTTCAAAAGAGTAGCATTTTAGTCATACCCAAATCAGGCAAATCATCATATTTTTAAAGTGGTAGTACTATGTTAAGAAACAAAACAAACAAAATCAACAAAGAGTGCTTCAAATTGTGTAGTAATCAGTTAAATAGAGCTTCAGCTTCCAGAGAGCACTATATTTAGGCCATATAAATGTGGTTTGAGAGAAGATTCTGATTCTGAAGAACAGTGTCCCAGTTCCTGAAGAGTTTTTAGTCTCACCTTCCTTTGGGCTTTATTACTAATGAGATTCTTTGAAGAACAATTTAATAGTATAATTGGGTACCCTCAATTATTCCTAGCATCAGCACACACTATACAATTTCAAGCAACACAATCAAAAATTAACACACATATCTGGGCAACATTTAGGTCATCAGTATTATCTGAATGCAAATTTCAGGAGAATGCTCTTTTCACCCAAATTCAATTCAATTAAGATGTGAATTAAAATCCCCAGAGTGGATAAGTATTATACTAGTCTTTAGCTATCATGTTCACAGGGGTGTAGGAAAATGCTAGAACTGGGGACAGCTAGGTGGCACAGTGGATAGAGCACTGGCTCTGGAGTCAGGAGAAGCTGAGTTCAAATCCAGCCTTGGATACATTATACTCACTAGCTGTGTGACTCTGGGCAAGTCACTTTAACCACAACTGCCTCTCCAAAAAAAAAAAATGCTGGAACTGAACAATCAACGTGAGCTGTGCTTCTCATTCTACTTCTTGGAGTCACCTTCCACCTCCCCATGAGAGACAAGGAGGAAGAAGCATGTTTATATTTATGTTTAGAATTTATGAGGCTCATATTCCTTTGAAAAAAAGAGTAAATCAAATTTCTTGAAATAAAGGCCACATCAGGTTTTTCTATAAACTCACATTCTATTTAGGAATATTCCAACAGTCTAAGGAGAGATTTCAAAAACAAGAGCTTATCAACCAGCATGTATTTCCCAAAAGAAATGGTTTCAATAATTGAAAAAAATAACAAAAACAAAACCTCTCTCTTTTAGGAACAAATGTTTTTACAGGATGACAGAGACCATTGTGAAACCCCTTTTTTGTTTGACAAACATTTTTAGTGTCAACCTTGTGAGACCATCTTAAAAATAAAACACAACCAACATAATTACCTGGGCTAAAGGAGAGGAGAAGAGTTATGGATAATAAAAACAGCTGATAATCCAAATAATCCAAATAATATTTGGTCTTGGAACACAAAGAGACATACAGAACACTCAGATATAAATCGAAACAAACACACAAGCACACATACTAGGAACTCGCATACTCCCCTCTATGTTTAGTCCTGTTCCCATTCCATTCCCTGGGTTCAACTGTTGGCTCTCCAAAATTTGGATAGCAAAGGATAAGAAGTGCCAGTTACCATATTTAGTCTAGACTGGTAGTCTCACTAAGCATAGTGAAAGCTGATCGTATGAATTTGGATTGCTCCAAGTCTTTTCCAAAATGTCTGATTAGGAGAAAGCAATAGTGATGAAAGTGTTTCTATTAGGTAACTTTTTTTAGAAATGTTCATATATACCTGAAGCCATTCATCATTATTTTTGGATCTACACTTGTGATTTCATCTGCGTAGGGAGCTCCCTTCATCACTGCAGGTCAGCAACTTATCTGTACCTTTTAGAGTTGTCTATATAGAGTGCATTGCTGAAGTATCTGTTACATTTTTTTTAAAGTTCCAAGAGAAGTATTCTATCATTTAATTTTGAAAAATCATCCATTAAATCTCAACATCAACACAAATATTACCAAACAATCAGTTCCCACATACCTGGTAGGTTTTTTTTCCTGAGAAAGGTATAGCATATTCAGAAATAAATCATACAGATAAAGATGAAAAATGTTTTGTCAAGTATATCACTAATTCATTTAAAATGTAGTAAAAATGAAAATGCCATGAATGTGAAGGTTAACATCTATTTATCAAGAGATGGCATCTACATAGATTCTCTAGGGTAGAACACAAGCAAGTACAACAAACCATTTGGGCATCCGGGCATTCATTGTAAGGTCCCTCTTACCATGCTACACAGTATTGGTTTCCCAATAAATATGGAATTTTATACCACAGACCACAGTTCTCAGAGCTGTTCTTCTCTCCCTCTCTCCTACCCCCTACTCCCCTGCCTCCAAATGGAAAAATGCACATGTTTTGAGAGTCACAACATTTGGAATTTATGTAGATTTTCTCTGAGGGTGGCAGCATTGTGTTCTGATGAAGGCTTGCAATGCACTAAAAAAGATGGAGGACCATGGTCCTGAAATCTGAATGGCCCAAATTTAAATCCATTGAGATCTCTAGAAGCAGGCAGTTTAACTCCTGTTAATTTCCATTTGTTTTACAGTTAAAAATTAAACCTCCATCCATCACAATGCAACAGCACTGGGCTTTTTAAGGCAAACTGGGATTTAAGACCTAAATACTCTACCTCAAGGCCTGGCCTAGACTAATGTACATTTCTCTAATCTGGTCGCTGATAAAAAAGGCTCTTAGAATCCCTGTGGGGACAGTTCTCCAATCATGTGAACCAAGTAACTTCTTGGCAGCGGAGGAAGCCCTTGAAAGAAATTAATATTTGAGAAATAAACATAGTATAAAACTTGTCAGAGAGACAAGTAAAAGGTCATGGTTCCTTCTAAGACCTTCAATACTAATGTTTCAGGCATTAGAGCACTTTGGTTTTCCTCAGTTCTGTAAATGAAATTTATGTGCTCTCTGAATTCAGGTTTACAACTGTAAAACTGTAACTGATGTTACTTAGGAACATATTCAGTAACTTGTTTGCAGCAGAAAAAGAGAAAAGTCACCACAATTTAGGTGGGAATCAAAATATGATTCTTGTTTTATAATACAAAGTAAATTATTCTTTTATCCCAACAATTTTAGGGAAAGAGGTGGAAAAATATAAAAATTGAAGGTGTGTGTACACTTTTTTCCACTGCCCTAAAATGTTCATTAGTCTAGATAGCATGACTACACAAAACCTTGCTCTTTCCCACCAATAGAACGTAAGCTCTTTGAGGGCAGGTACTATTTTGCTTTGAATCCCCGGTGCCTAGCACATAATAGAAGCTTAATAAAGTCTTGTTGAATTGAATTGAGTATTATTCATTACAGAGAAGAATTCTGTACAAAGCAGATCCATTTCATGTCCCCTCACAGGGGGGTTTGTTACTAAAATACCAAAAGAAGCTCCTTAAGATCTAGTTTTCCATGAATCGGGTTGCCCAAATAGCAGTGAGGAAAGCAGCATGTAAAAGCTACCTCCTGTACTGAGCAATGCAGAAAAGTATCTGTGGGTATTTTAGGCAGGGCTGTCTGCAAAAGGAGGCTACTCTGGTACAAATTATGCAATTTTTTCATTACAAAAGGGGAAAAAATCAGCCCAACTATGGTGTTTTCTCTTATAAAGGTTAAGAAGTGCTATAAGAATACTATCAAAGGTACTCCACTAAGCTTGAGTCTGTAATATGATACATATTTTGCAATGCATGTTGCTGTGGTTGGGGTATTAGGACCGTTTTTTTTCTGTACCCCAAACACCATAGCTGAATACCTAAGTATTCTTATCCAAGTAAGAGATAAACAAAATATAAATATCAGTACTGTATATTTTCAAACTTTCAAAATAAACACAAAGAATATATAGGTATACAAGTTATAATTGTAAGGTCAACACTAGCACACAAGTTTGACTCATCGAAGTACATACCAGGATACTTCCTATTCAATACATGCACCTACAGACACATTGTCATGCATACAAGCTCCCTTCCTGCCACTAGCAGGAACATTAGAATATACAAAATTGTACACTGTTTAAACATAAATCCAATTGGCAAATCGATGAGGATGACATAAAAAAAAGCGGTGCTGCACTATTAAACAAACAAAAACAAATACAGGAAGATGGTTCATCCGTCGATTAAAAACACTGAAGACTGATGAAAAGTTAAGATTTTTTTAACTGCTTGTTCTGTATATCAAGAGATGTAATTCTTAATCTTGAAGGATACAGAGCAGGACACAACTGGTTACAAACACACAGAATGCTCTGTCTGGAAAGAAGATCTAGAGCTTTGGCCATAGGGTCTACCCATTCTGTCTTAGGGAGACTCAGACAGCTGCGGTCTCTGAGTGCAGTGAAAAAGAATAGCCATACGCAGTCTTCTTCAAGGCCGGGGGCGCAGATGGGGATCTGAGTGCCCATCGGGAAGGTGGGCGTCGATTTGTTGGCCGGGCAGGCCGAGAAAACCCTTTCCCATCAGTTGATTTCATTGCCACAGACTCCTAGAATACAAATACAGTCATTCACTTGGGGAAATGTCCACCAAAACTGCAAAGTAACATTACACCTGGTGAGCTTAGACACATTTTTCTCAATACTGAAAAGACTCAGAGAGATATTTGTGTGGCATCATTTTGCACCCTAGAGAAAACGGCTAGGTGGCCATTTTCATATCATCTCTATTGTGAAATATAGTACTTGGGGAGTTGACAAAACCTTCACATTGTCAAAATTTTGGCTAGAAAAATGTCTTCTTGTTCTCATTTTTGAACCCAATTTCAGAGTGGTTATTTTAAGTCACTCTCCTTTAGGGTGATTGGGAAACCCAAACCTCCCTCAGTGGAATCTTAATTTTTTAATCTGGAAAGTTGCAAATTTAGAAATCTAGAAATGGTTGGGTTCCATTTGTGATGGTGTTAGGGTTAATTTTACTAGAAGATAAAATGAAACTGAAACTGAAATAAAAAGATGGAGATCCTAGGTCATAGGCAAAGAGGGTAATTTCTCTGCTTCTGGGAACTCCTGGGTTAATACATTCCCTCTACCAATGCAGGTCAACACCTATATCTATTAAGATCTTAGAAAGTTGCCTAGAGCACTAGCAATAGGAAGTAAAAACTTCCTGTTTGACTTTCTTTGAAGTCCTGAATGTTTTGGTAACACAAGGAGTCCCCAGTCTTAATATGCCTATTAGCCCAGTGCCTGGAACTTGTTAAGTTGTGAATGCCTCTTCATGACTCGATTTGGGGCTTTCTTGGCAAAGATACTTGAGTGGTTTGCCATTTCCTTCTCCAGCTCATTTTATAGATGAGGAAACCAGGGTTAAATGACTTCCTCAGGGTCACATAGCTAATAAATGTCTGAGGCCAGATTTGAACTCAGAAAGATGAGTCTCCCAGACTCCAGGCCCAGGACTCTATCCACTGCACCACCTAGCTTCCCTGGAACTTATTAATGCCTTAATATATGCTTGTTGACTGACTATTTGCATCTCTTTTCTGCATCTAGATTCTCTACATCCTCTTCCCTCTTCACCCCCAATTTAAGACTCCATTTCTCGTGCATAGGGTGGTTACAATTACCCAGAACAGTGATTTTCCTTGTGGGTTATACATAACCACTTCTTTCCATGAACAAAAAAAAAATAAGTCAGAGGGTAAAGAAGAAATTCTCATCTGCCATCATCAGCAATTTTCTAATTAACTGGCTCATTGTGAGGCAGTTAGAAATGGGAATTGTAAATTTGGAGAATTTTTCAGAGCCCGTTGTCACTCCCCACCCCTTAAAAAATGTTGCATGTCTTCCTTTCTGAGTCAAAAGGAAGTAATGGAAAACATTAAATGGGTTCTTAATTAGTATAATTAAAGGGGTTCTTAATTAGTATCTTAATTAGCCACCCCTCTGGCAATCTGGTGAAACCTATGCACCCCTTTTCAGGATGACTTCTTGAATGTATCAAATAAAATAAAAAGGATTACAAAGGAATTAAATCTATTAAAATGCAATTATAATTTTTTTCTTAAGTTTACAGACTCCAGGTAAGGTTCTCCTTTGTGCTCTTTGAGAATATTCAAGTTTCTAATAGAATGGGTGAAACCTCCTGTTCATACTGGGATTTGCAAAGGACAAAAAAGAATTTGGGCTGAGAAAATTGGATTAGATCATGCCCAAGATCCCTTTCAGCTCAAAACATTTTGATGATTTAGTGATGAATTTTTCACTCTAACAAGAGATAGCTTCTCTGACTGAAAACTGTACCATATCATCCTTGCTTTGGTAGGTTTTTTATAATGTCACAGGAAATATTTTTTAGGATCCCAGTGAACAAATGCAAGCAATAACTTTTTCTAGATAATAAGCAAAAGAATTCTTGACAGTTCTTTGCTTCAACATCCTTGTCTCTGGTCTCCCTGTGCTACCACATAAGTAACATCTGTGATGATGGGTTTTTAAAACATATTAGACAAAAAAGAAAAAAAAAACCTAATTCTTCTTAAAAAAATAGTTAGGGACTATCTATCATTCTTCTTGTTGCCCATAATCATTTGCAATTCACTGACATACTATCAGGTAAATTTCTATCTTTATTTTTATTTTCATATATAAGATGCTTATTGATATCAAAGAATACATCTGTTCAGAGATATGTCCCCTGATGAGATCCTTAAACAAAACAAATATGCATCTTATTAATCTTGTGAAAAAACATAAATGAAGCTGATTCTGGGGAGAAATGAATCTAATTAAATTACAAATTATTTTAAAAAATCTTTTCAGTAAGATTTTCCCCCTCTTCACCTCATGCCTAGATTATTGCAATATCTTGCTGGTTGGTGTCTCTTTCTCAAGTTTCTCCCCACTCAAGTCAATCCTCCACTCAACTGTAAAATTGCTCTTCCTAAAGTACAAGTCTGAGCATATCATTTCCACCCCCACCTCTGTTCAATAAATTCCAGTGGTTCCCTGATACCTCTAGAATCAAATATAAAATCCACTGGTTTTAAAGCCTTTCATAACATGATCCCTTCCTAGCCTTCTAGGATTCTTACTGGCTTTCACATACTATACAATTCAGTGACACTGACCTCCTTGCTGTTCCCTACTCACAATACTTTATCTCCCAATTCACTACATTTCTCCTGACAGTCCCTCATGCCTGAAATGCCTCCCCTCCTCATCTCCACCACCTAGCTTCCCTGGCTTCCTTCAAATCTCAGCTAAAGTTCTACCTTCTGCATGAAGCCTTTTCCAGGGGGCAGATGTAAGCCCAGGTATTCTGAACTTCAAGGCCTTATACCCTATGCCTATTTTATGATATTTAAATGATCTTAAAATTCATTTACCTGGGACAGCTAGGTGGTGCAGCAGATAGAGCTCTGGCTTTGGAATCAGGAGGACCTGAGTTCAAATATGACCTCAGACACTTGACACTTACTAGCTATATGACACTGGGCAACTCACTTAACCCTGTTTGCCTCACCAAAAAGCAAAAAAAATAAAATAAAATTCATTTATCCTCATAAATGCTGATTTTATTGGCCCAAGTAAAATAAAATTCAAACTTCATTCAAGTACTACCCTAAAGCCTCACCAGGTCAAGGAGCTAACTCTGGGCTCTTGATGGTTATGCCAGTTGATTACAATTCCAGGCAGTGGCTACCAAACTGAAAAGGCTGGCAAGATGAGCTAGTGATGAATTATGTTTTCTGAGGACCATCACAGCCAAGTTTGGAGAGGCTTAGCACAAGGTTGGCTGCAGGTTGCTGAATTTTTGTTTATTTATTTATTAATTGCAACACACAAAAACAGTCTACAACGGTATAGAGGGGTATGTGATCTGTGTTAGTGAGGAAAGAGAGGAACAGATTTGTGAAATCATAGATCCTTGAGGTACCGAAGGAAGTAATGAAGTTGAAACTTTTAAAGTTCAAAGTTTGCTACAAGCCTAAGTTTCCAAAGGTACAATAAGTTTAGAAAGTGGCATGATACTAGTCGCTTAGGCTGAAGGATATTCGACTAATTTAACACTTACCTGTTGCTCAATTCTGATGTGGCTCTACACAAAAGTGCAGTATCTCCTCTTACCTCTGTTAATTCTTTCCTCTCTACTTCTTGCTTGTTTTGCTGTTCCATAGACATGCCTGACTTCATCTGAAGCTCTTGCTTTTCTTGTTCTGGTTGAAACATTTCTAAACACTGATTAATGGGGTCCTTGTCACTCTTGATGACATTACAATCCAATTTGGTCCAATGATCTTGGCAGGATTTCAAGTTTTGTGACAAGGACCCTGTTGATTTCTCATAGTTTTTCAGCAGCTTTTCCACTACTCCATAGTTTGACTTGGGATCGGCTGATCGCGGACGACCTAACAAATTACTGGGTTTCCAGTCATGCTCATGAAGCATGTGGTGATAATTGCTAGCATCAAAATGCTCCTGCGCTTGCTTAACTTGCCCTCCCATGACTTTTTTGGTAAAACTATTTGACTTTCCCTCTTTGGGCACTGAGAGGCTGTTGTTCTGAATGCAACACAGATCGTCACTTTCTTTTGCGTGAACTGCACATTTACATAATGGATCACAGGGCTTAGAGTCTTTTGATGAATCTAAGAGCCTTTGAATATGCTGTGCTGAACTGCAACATCTGTCTGTTCGAAATACAGTTCTGTTAAATTCATCTGTCTTTGCTGCCAATTTTTCATTCTTTGAAATCTTTTCAAAGTTGCAACCAACTTCTGTAAATGAGTCACTGTTAGGATTCAAAGAAGAATTCAGGGCATCACTTACATGAAAAGCAGAATCAGATTTAGTCTGGCAGATTTGGATCAACTTCTTATTTGGAAGCTTATCAGGGTTAGGGCAAACTTCTGGAAACCACAATGTTGAGGGCACACTCTTTGCACCTGTTCTAAGCTTGTTTATATCCTGTGACCATATATTAGTCTCCAAGTCCTTATCACATTGAGTTTCACTATCTGGTTTGTTTATTTGCATTGAAGTGGCAAAAGTAACTTGATCTTTCAAAGTGTTCTGTTTATGTGGACAGGACGTGGTTGTTTCATGCTGCTTTGTGGGGAAGTTATTACTACAACTCCTTTTACCTCTGCAGTCTTGTGTCTCCCACCTGCTGTCTAAATTTTCCTTTAGACTATCAAAGACAGGGTGATCTTCAGCATATGAGCTTGGAAAGTTTCGAGAAGTGCTTCTTGGAGGAGGGATTGGTGGAGTTTCATTGCTTTGCAAAGAAAGTGTATCTGGTACACTGTTCTCAACAGGAGTGTCATGGGGCATATCATCAACATGACTTAGGTTCTTTTTATTTATCTGTTTTTCTGTATCTAGACTGATTAAAGCAGTTGGGGAGTCATTGCTGATCATGTGATTCACATCAGGATTAACTGTGCTAATTGTTTCTTGGAGAAAAGGAGTTGACTTCATCCTGGATAGAAATTAAGAGAATAATTTAGTGATAACATTATTTAGGAAAGGCCCTCTAGAGAAACAGTGGATTGGGTCTCAGGTGACTCAGTAAAGAGGAGCCACTACATGTTGCTCAAGCACTGCTTTGTGATATCATTTTCCTGCTCATGAACCTCCAGTGACTCCAAATCCCATGAAGCCCAAACTCCTTAGCCTAGTATGACATTCAAAACCCTACCGATCTGGACCTTTTTAATCTAATGTCTCTTTTCTTCCCTACACAAAGCCTCTGTTACAGTCAGACCTAACTATTTATTGTTGAGCATAGGTCTTGCTTAATCTTAGCTCCATGATGCTGCTCATATACCCATTTCTTTTGAAGACCTCCAACCTCTTCCTACCACTCTTATTCTTTCCCATCCTCCAAGAAACAGAATGAGCTTAACCACTTCTCTGATGCCTTCATGAATGCCTCAGCCCATGATGGCCTCTTCTGAAGTCTCATTTTATACCATTTATTTAGACTTATACTGTTATGTTTTTGTATGTTTCTTGTCTCTCAAACTGGACAATGAACTCTGTGAGTGCAAGAGCTATGTCTTCTTCTTCTTCATAGTATTCAAATTATAATGCCTACTACACAGGAGATATTTGGTAGATCTGTTCATTAATTTATGGATTAAATTATCACTGAGGCTTAGTCTGCATTTCATTGGAGAAATTTCATTAGAGGATTAAAATGCATGTAAGCATGATTATTGCCTTAATATGGGAAAGTCACTGACCTGCAGGAAACAGAGCAAAATATTAGCTTCAAAGCATTTATTTTGCCCTGTTATTTATTCCTATGGTAACATGGAGAATATTCCATAGAAAGTATTACTGATTTACTGTCAACAAATTATTCCTGATCAGATTCCCAAACTGCCTTATCTTTTATATCAGGAGTTTTAACCTTTTTTGGTGTCATAGATCCCTTTGGTAGTCTAGTAAAGTATATGGACCCCTTCTAAGAAGAGTGTTTTTAAATTCATAAGATAAAATACAGGAGATTACAAAGAAAATATTACATTAAATTGTGGCTATCAAAATATTTTTTAAAAATAAGTTCAAATTCAACACCTGAAATTTATCCATGGACCCCAGGTTAAAAAAAAACCAAAAAACAACTCTTTCATATTTTCTCCAGTTTTACATTCTCTTATTAGATACCAATAAGAAGTATTAAGGAAAAATGGATCAAGTATCTAGCAGGTTTGAGGAATATTTACTTCATAGAGATCCAGGTTTAATATCTATTTCTGGGGCAGCTAGGTGTTTAAGAAGATAGAGCATTGACTTGGAAATCAGGAGGACCTGAGTTCAAATACAGCCTCAGACACATATTTGTGTGATCCTAGGCAAGTAACTTAATCCCAATTGCCTCAAAAAATCTATTTCTGTACTCCCTACCTCCAATATTTTTAAAAAAGAAAAACCAAGAATAACAACAGTCATACCAAAGTAATAACCCCCAATTGCCTCAGAAAAAATCTATTTCTATATTCTATATTGCCAACATTTTTTAAAGAAAAACCAAGAATAACAGCAGTCACATAAAGGTAGCAGGTTTTAATTCTGTTAGCAATAGGAAATTAAGCCTTAAAGTCAGTAAGATAAAAGTACCAGACCTCAAATAGAGAATTAGAAACATGGGAATGTTTCTATAGGCCTTCAAACAGAGACACTGTAGTGACCCGAAATAATAATTTGTTCAGTTTAAAGCTCTATGGATGTAGCAAACCATTTCACATCTTTGCACAACTCAATTCCCTTTTCTCATTGACTCTAGATGTTTCTCCCCCAGTAGGTACAAATATCTCAATCAATCCTGTTAATTTCATTTCTTCTACATTTCTAGAAAATCAGGCTAACTTATTGCTGTCTTTGAAGTTTGATTTTCTCTGATCAAACCTTTCATTTGATGAAGGAAACTATGGGAAGCACTTGATATCAAGCCTCAGCAGCAGTGGAGGGAGGTGACTGGCTTCAAGAGCTGTGTGAGATCCTTACTTAAATAGGGTGACAAAGGAAATTCTCTCCAAGTAGATACAATAGGGAAAGTGATATGTCTGCCCAAAGTTATCTGTAAAAACAACCCCCACACATTAACTCTGTGAGAATTAAAAAAATAATCTTGTGTGTTGAAACTATCTGCACTGTTTCTGCAGAATTCCACTGTATGTGTCTTACATGCCTAAAATTTCACTTGTTTTGAAATGACTATACATACAATGTCTATTTTTATTGCATGTCTCTAATCAATGTCTTTTAGACATGATGTATCATATCAGAAGAAACATTGTGATTTGGTTCAAATATAACACTGACAATTTGTTAGGCTACAAAATTAATTTAATCAGACAACTTAAGATAATTTAAAAGTCACCCAATAAATAATAGGTATTTGGGATAGCAGTTTAGTATAGTAGAAAAAGCAAGATATCTGGGATCAGAAGATATGGGTTCAAATTCTTCAGACCTAGAGCAAGTCATTTACCTCTATGAGCCTTAGCTTCTTTCTCTGTATAAGGAATTGGACTTGATAACATCTAACATCCATTCCAGCTCTGAATCCCATGATTTCATTATCTTATCAGTGTCTTACAGCCAGACTGTGTTAAATAAACACTCAAAAAATGAAATTTGTTGGTTTTTTTCTTTAATGATGAAAATCAGTATTAGCTACTAGAAGGCAGAAAACCCATAATCAATATTTGTACAATTTTTCCCTTTGGAGAAGATGCTAATTATTCACATTAAGAAAGTAGTATAGTATGTAATCAAATCAAATTTCTACTGAATTTAAGTTTAATTTGGAGACATATTCAAATTCCAAATAGGATCATTTTACCAAATAGTATTATTCCTCAACATGAGAGAACCATAAATGTACCAACCTACCTTCTGTGGTTAGATCTCTTTCGGATTTCCTCTTGAAAGTTGCATAATTCTTCACTAACTTTGGCAAGTTCCTCAAGAGCCTTTACACATAAAAACAATATCATGTTAGCTCTTTGAAATGTAAATATTTCTTTAGAAACAACATTATGTCCAGTCATGTTTTACTTACTGTATTGAGGGCATTAGTACAGCTCTTTCTTTCTTCCTCAGAAATCTTCAAGCAAGACCCACCCTCATATTTCTTTTGATTCTTTGTGGACAGAGGGTCCATGAACACTGCTTTGGATTTCCTCATTGTTATTTGTTCCTTGCCCATTTGATTTTTTCCCTCAAGGAAGCTGCCTCCTTCCATGGTATCTGTATTTAGACTTACAGGACAAAGTCCATCACTCAGCATTGCAGTGTCATCTTGTCCTGGAATTGGGGAATGTGGCAAAAATGGGGCCATTTTACTTTGGACATTCTTATCCTGTTCAACAGTTTTCAAGCAGCTGTTCTTCTTGCTTTCCCTCCTGAGCTTCACTTCCTGGCAAAGCTAGAAAGACAATAAAATTACATCTCACTTGCAATGTCAGTTTTCAGCCTGGGACAAGCATTTAGAGTCTCTCTTTGTTATGTTAGTTGTATTTTATTATTAATGAACTACCTGATTCTTTTATGGTACTCTATATCGGAGGACATCAAAGCCATTTAAGAAGAGAGGATTTATTGATCCTTACAGAACTGTTCTATGGTAGCTGAGCAAAGGTCTAGTCCTGGTTCTGCCACACACTAGACTTGTGACCTTGGGCGAGGATATAACTTCTCTATACCCCAGTTTCCTCACCTACAAAATGGGAATAAGAATAACCCACCTATCTCACAAAGTTGTGACAATCAAATGATACAAAATTAGTAAAGCAATATATAGATATGTAATTTTAATAATTATTATTATTATCTTATTTATCCAGCCTTTGAGAAATTTAAGTTTGATATAAGGAAAGATTTCTAAACAATTAGAGTTATCTGAAAGTGGAATGGGCTGCTTTGAGAGGGAGTGAGTTCCTTCCATTAGTGGGCTTTAATTAAAGAATGGGTTATCAGGTAACCTTTTGGGTATGCCTGGAATAAATGTCCTCTGAAATTCCTTCTAATTCTGAAATTCTTGGATTCTGATTCTGTGATCCAGATATTTTAATTTTTCTGACTATTCTAGTACAGACGAGGTGTTGGAGAAATGGTAATTACAGAGTAATACATGCAGTATAGGCAAATGGTAATCATAATAAAATTACTAATAATAACAATGACATCTACCTTTTATATAGTGTTATCATTTTAAATAATTCTTGCCTCAAAAGCATCCTGTGAAGTGGGTAGTGTAAGTATTCTTTTTTCTTCCCTATTTTATAAGTGAGGAAGGTGAGGCTCAGAGAAATTTTGAGTCGCCAAAGGCCATATAAATAATAAATGGGTGAACCAGGATCCCTCCCCCTCCACTAAGCTCTTCTGACTCCAATTATAGCATTCTTTCAACTTTATCATGCTGCCTCTTGATGTCATGGAAAGGAGACATCCTTTCATCCTCAGGACATCCCTTCAGACTATTCAGGTCCCAAAGGGCCCAATTACCTGAGATTGTACTATAGTTACAACCTTTGCTTGGGCAGTAAATACCAAGGACATGAAGGATGAAGAAGCCAGAAGGAGATTGGAAGGACTCAATCCCAAATATGGTTTCATCATGTTGCCTTATAGTATAGTGCAGATATTGTTTGCTCAAGTCATGCTAAAAGGCACAGTAGAATCTACAACCCACTGTAGGTTGCCTAATGATCTGTATCTGACTTCAGGATAACAGTACAACTGTGAATGAGTAAATTTATGGTTTTATCTAAACAGAGATTCATTCAAAACAAATGGTGGAATTACAAAACCAGTTTTTATTTTATTTAGTCTGATATATCATTAGGTATCCAGAATCATGACATGATAAAGGCAAGGTCTTAATTCCACACACCCTTGCGTGCCATGTTGACTGATGTTTATTTGTCAAATTTATTCCAACTAGGGCATTATGCAATTTTGATCTTTTAAGAACAGCCATAGTAACAAATATTTTAAATATTCATAATGAACTATACTTGAGAAATAATGTAAAATATCCATTCCATTAAAATGTCTTTAAATGGACTAGATTCCCTCTTTTGTTCTATAGAATGTGTGTTCTCCCAACAATAGAATCAAGGACCTGTTTCTTTGGTCTCTTTCCCATATTGTCTCTTTGTAGTCAGTGCAACACTATTGTCTGTTTGAACCAAATATTATTTCATAGGCATGGGAAATTCTATTAAAAGATTTAATCCCAGGATTCTTAACTTTGGGTCTGATAACTTGTTTTAAAAATATTTTTGATAACTGTATTTCAGTATAATTGGTCTTCCTTGTAATCCTATGCATTTTATTTTATGAATTTTTAAAACATGATTCTGAGAAGCAGTCTAGAGGCCTCACTAAATGGCCAAAGGGGTCCATGATACAAAATAAGAACCTTTGGACTAGGGTAGCAGTTCTTAAAGTGTGTTTCACAGTCCCCTAGGAGTCTCCCTGAGACACTTTCAGGAGGTCCATGAAGTCAAAACTATTTTCATAGTACTAAGATGTTATTTGCCTGTTAAAATACTATTGTCTTTTCCAGCTACATATCTGTGTGATGCTGGATTTTTTCATATACCTCAACCAAAACAACATATCACAAAAGACTGAATGCAGAAGTGTATGAGAATCCAGCTAAGTTCTATTAAATCAGCTATTTAAAAATATTTACAAAAATATGCAAAATGATTCACTGTTTATACTAATTTTTTTTTGTTGTGGAAGTAATAGTTATTTTTCCATAAAATATTTGTTAACATTTAATGGTTTTACTGTTATTCTAAATGAAAAAAAGAAATTTTCAAAATTTATGTTTTAATTTTTAATTCAGTAAAAGATAGCTATAACCCAAATAAACAAAAACTCTTTAAGGTCCTCAATAATTTTTATGAGCTTAAAGTGTTACTCAGACCAAAAGGGTTGAAAACTGCCTGACTAGAGGAACCAGGGAGCACCTCTGGAGAATAACTGGCAAGCACATCATCACCTGGACCTACTACAATCCTCTTCCCAACCCCCCAACCCCACTTCCCAAGGCTATTTAAACTAAATGGTACATAATTGGTTTGACAATTTTATGGATGATTTTCCTCCCTCTTCTCTCACTGGATAGTTTGATGAGCCAGTGTTTGTGTCTATATAAGGCTATTATATGAAAGCTTTAAATTAATCGAGACAGCTTAATTAATTCATGAATGCAGGACAAGTCAAGATTGAACTCTTAACTTTTAGCTGTGATTTGATCCAGTAGCCCTGTATCAACACACCATAAATTTATGAGCAGAGGAGGGAAAGGGGAAAGTAACACACTCTCAGAGCTATATTGGGGACTGGAGGAAATGCTTTCCTTCAAAGGGTTTGAAAGGTCATGCTGTACTCTGTTCATCTGTAAGCCTGGGCTATGTACAAGTCCACAGGGATCCCTTTGCTGTATTGGCAGAAACAGCATTAGCATTCAGTGGTTCCTCACTATTTCACAAATTAACTTATATTTTAATATTACTAACTACTGATTGCTTGATATTTAATTTTTTAAAAAAATGCTTAGGGATAAAGACCATCAAAGCATGCATTTTACGATCCTGCTTATCTGATCTGAGGACTTTGCTAACCTACCATTTTTGGAGATATAAACACATACATAAAAATAAATAATCAAATATTGTTCAAAGAAAGCAAGTTAAAATTAATTACTTTTCAAGAGGACATGCATGTCCATATATATCCACAGGTGGGAATACTAAAGCTGTCACCTGATGGCAATGTACTAGGCTTGACAGAGTGAGTAATGGCTAATAGAAAAAAAAATTACTATTTGTGTCAAGGTTGTGGTATACTATTTATCATAGCCCCTTTTCTATTGAATGTCACCAATAAATACAGCAGAGCTTCCCAAAATAAATCTCACAGCTTGATGCCATTTGCTTTTTGATGCACGACACTTCTCTATTTTCCTGGCCTGTGTAGCATATAATTTCTTTAGGGAGACAGAATTCATTTATCAATCCCCAGATTAGAAAGATATATTTTCTAATACCCAACTGTAATTTTACTAAGTAATGTTCTTCCAATTAAATCATACTTTCATGCATCTTCCCCACATGCCCTCGCTATCAGAAAATTCATGGATCTCATTTCATATCTACAGTCTCTCTAGCAACAGTACACAATTCTAGCAACTAAACAATAAATTTGGTCTTAAAATATATATTGGAGTAGTATTTCAAGTTTTTTTTTTAAGATTTCTATTCAGTATTATAGAATAAGTACATTTTCTTCTCTACCCGATGCCATTAGATGATGTTATGCCTGCTGTTCATCTAAAGAAATTTTACTGTAGTAAGTGCCTAATGGCTGAAAGAGGAAAAATGGTAAGAGTGGTATCCAAAGACAAGCATTAACAAAAGAGGATCACTTGGATCTTGGGATTTATAAGATATTCACAATAAACCATCACTTACCTCTTCTATCTTCTTCTGCATAACTTTCCATTGGCTTTCCCATTCCTTCCTTTCATTGTCAAATTGGTCCAGTAATTCCATCCTTTCCTTAATCCAGTTTGACTCTGTAGTCTCCCATTGCTTATGGAGGTCCATGGCAATCAAGTAAGAGCCAATGAAGAGGTGTTTTTTTGGAATTTTTTTGGTCTCCTTTGTCTCTCCTTACTGATTCTTGGAGTCTGGGAATTACTTTATTTGAACCAATCTCTCTTGCCTTTGTTTCTAGCTTTTAAAATAGATCACAGTATAAATATAACAAGATACAGTTCCAAGTCCTCTTGCTTTCTAGAAATGAATTTTATCATAATGTCACCAACCAATGAACAGTAAACAAACTATAAGAAAATTGGATAGGAAAGAAGAAAAGAAGATGATAGCAATCTGCTGAAGACAGGGAAACTAATACAGTCTGAAAACAGACTCAAAGCTTTGTTATCTAAGACAGACAGAAAAACTATATTAAGCAAAATAGCCCAAATGCTTGAGTGTGATGCATTTGTATGTTGTTGTTTTGAAAATGTGACAACTTAACTCCTAGAGAGAGATTCTTTCATGAATACTAATAATTAAGTTCAGCAGAATCAAAATGCCTAAAGGAAACTAAGGTTGAGCTCTTGGCCTTATGACTATGGCAGGATATAATGTAATTAAATCAGTTTTCCTAATTTGCTGTAGCTTCCCCACACAACTCTATGACTCATTTGCAGCCAGACTACATCATGGCTGCCATTATTCAGAGGCTCAGACTGTGTCAATATAAAGTTAAAAGGATCTTTAGGTAAAAACCAAAAATTCTAAGTCAACAAGGTTAAAGTTTTAAAAATAATGATACTTTTAAAAATTAGTAATAATTTTACTTAAATTACACCAGAAATATTAAAATAATCTAAAGATCCACAGTATAAAATCTATACATACATACTTTCCCTTCCATATTCCATATGATATGGCCTGTCTAGACGGTTACAATTCAAGAGGTTTAAGGGAACATTTTATTCAAGTCTAGGAAAAACAAAGGTTGGGCAAAGCAGTGATTAATAAAGGTTAAAGAACACTGAGTAAGGCTCTGAATTGTTCTTAAATAATGAACAACAGTAATTAATGGTTATGTTTAACTATATTAATTTTTTTTGTTTTAAAGAATAAAGACAAGTGAAGTTCTCTGTCTCTACTTCTCTCTCTCTCTCAATTAGCAATTTCCCCATTCAAAAAATTGGGTTAAATGCCCATCTTGACAATACACTTTGCTAAATGTTGGGGAAAATGTAAAGATAAATGAGTCATGGGTTTTTTGTGGGTTTTTTGGTTTTGTATCTGGCTTAGAATTCTGATTGCTGGCTCCTACATCATTGTACAGAATAAGCTAATTTGGCAGGAGTTGTCAATAACTGTTTTATTTGAGACATGAGTCAAGTCTGTAACACTGGATATAGCTCCTTCCTGTAAAAGACCTGAGTGAGTACTTTTGACATTCAACCATATTCTAAGTGTCATTTGATATCTTAACTCAATGGCACCAAGAGCTGAAATTTAGCCTTTGGTGACCTTGCTTAAAGTAGTTGTGAAAATAAGTATAAGAATTCAGTCAGCCTAGGAAAACCCAAAGTCATTACATCAGTAGATACAAGAAATCCCTTCAGCAATTTACATAGATTTGAATCCACATAGTCTTAGAGGCTTACCTGAGTCTCACACAGATTAAATGCCTTGCCCATGGCCACAAAGCTAGCAATTGTCGGGGGTGGAATTTAAAACCAAGTCTTGATTTCAAGTCTAGCAGTCTATTTCTGTTGAGAGTACCACCAAATCTCAATCATCCAGGCTCATGAACTCAGAGTTATTCTCCATTCTTCTTCTCCCTGATTTCCCAGAATTAATCACTTGCTAAATCTTGTGGTCTCTGTCTCTACATAATTTGCCTCCATTCCTTTCTCTCTATTCACATAACAACTACTTTAGTTCAGTCCCTCATCTTCACCTATTAGAATAAGCCTAATTGGCCTCCATGTTTCTAATACCTCTCCCCTCCAATTCCTTCTCCATATATCTGACCATATTATCTTTTAGGGCACAGGTCTAACCATGTCACTTCCTTGATTAAAATTTTTTGGTGGTTCTATATTTCTTTTAAGTTAAAATAGAAACTACTTAGTGTGGCATTTAAAGCTCTCCACAGTTTCTCTGGACTTATTTTATATGACTTCTCTTCAGTAGTTACTATACGTACATTAAACTAAACTGTTCCTTGAACTCAGTATTCCATATCCTTCTCTAAACAGACTGGCCTCCCATGTCTGAAATACATTCCATCCACATGCCCACTGTTTCTAATTCTTAGCATCCTTCAAGGCTCAGGTTTAACCTTTTATGATGCCCCAAGTTAGTTCTATCTACCTTCACAAATTACTATGTATGTGCTTATCTGCATATAATTTCCTAAGAACCATGGCTGTCTATAAATATCAACCTAGCTGCTAGTTCTCTAAATGTGAGCTACTTATCATGTGATCAGTGGGTAGATATACTACTAGAGGAATGAAATCATCTCAACTTCACATTCTTACTATTTAAGCTAAATAAAAGAGTTGCTAGATTTGGGATAATGAGCATCCAAAGGTAACAACAAAAATCATTTCATGGGCAACTTAGCCATCTGGTTTTGCCATGATCATGATGATTATTTGCAGTTGTGAACACCACAAAAATAATTGTAGCTTATGAACCAACAGATGTCACAGAGGATGAAAAGAGAGAAATTTCTTGTAGAATTTAATAAGAACTTAATAAAACCCTCCAAATCTCCAATTTTCTCCAATATTCTGAATCGTTGTTCATTGATTATAAATAAGAATTTTATTTAATTGAACAAAATGTCACTTCAAAGCATTCCTTCAACAAAGTGTCTCTCATGTATATATCAAAATTATAAGAGGTACTCAATGATGATTAATATCAAGTGAGGCATATACTAAATAAAGATATTTTCAATATTGTCAAATAGGATATGCAATACAAAGTGCAAAGTGAAGGATTCCTTATTGATGGTGAGATCCTCCAGTTGATACTATTTGCCAATGACATTATGCTGATGACATGATTCCACAGAAAGATGAAGTCTTTAATATGCTATCCATAATTACTTAAAGGAGGTTAGCATGACTGTACACCCAGTAAAAACCACATAGATAAAGAATCTCTGATGTCATATCAAACTAAGATATGCAGCTGGAAGGACAACCTAGAGAGTTTACCTATCTATCCATCCATCTATCATCTATCTACATAAATCTATATGCACATACATGTGCATAATTATCTTTCTGTTTTTGGTGGACACTACAAATAACTTCTCCCTGAAATAAAGACTCACCTTTTTAATGCCAAAATTCTTCTGATGATGCTGCACAGCTCTGACTCATAGAACACTATATACTTCTGAAGAACTAAAACTGACAATCACTCAAAAGGCAATGAAGAGGGGCAGAGCCAAGATCATGAAGTAAAGGCAAAGACAGACTTGAGCTCTCCTAAATTCTCCTCCAAACAAATTTAAAATAATGCCTCAAAATTAATTCCATTGTGACAAAACCAAAAAAAGGATGAGGTGAAACAATTTTCCAGCCCAAGACAACTTAGAAGGTCAGCAGGAAGGTCTGTCTCATTGGGGTGAGAGTAAAGCACAGTCCAGTGCAGGCCATCCCCACACTATCCACATCCCAGCAAGCCAGTAGCAGTTCTTGGGAGCAACTGAATAAGCAGGGGTGACTGAATCAGCAGTGGGGCTTTTGGAGATCTCAACTCACAGATGGCAAGAGGATCAGACAAGTAAACAGAAGAAGATTACTAGCATTGGGTGAATGACTCTGTTGCATTGCCCATACATGGTTCCAGGTCACAGCCACAGGGTGAGGACGAGCACTAGCACACTAGAGTATGTGGCCACTGGGGTACAGGGACCCTGGTCACAGTTCTAGGGGAGAGAAAGGTGCTTATGGTTGCTCATAGAACAGAGCACTGACCAGAATAGCAGTGACCACACCTGTTTTTAGGTCATGCCACTGTGGAAGAACTGAAAACTTACAGACCCCTAGAACTAGCTCTGAAAAAAGCAGAACAAAAAACCTGACACTTGGACAGTTCCCCCTCCACTCCAGGAATAAAGCCCAACTTCAACATAAATTTAAAAGTCAAGAAATAGGCTGGAAAAAAATGATCAAACAACAAAAAAGAACCTGACCATAAAAAGTTACTATGGTGACAGGGAAGATCAAAACACAAACTCAGAAGAAGACAACAAAGTCAAAACTACTATATCCAAAGCCTCAAAGAAAAATATGAATTGGTCTGAGGCTGCAAAAGAATTCCTGTAGGGGCAGCTAGGTGGCACAGTGGATAGAGCACTGGATTCAGGAGGACCTGAGTTTAAATCTGGCCTCAGACACATAACACTTACTAGCTGTGTGACCTTGGGCAAGTCACTTAACCCCACTGCCTAGCAAAATAAATAAACAAACAAACAAACAAACAAATAAATAAATAAATAAATAAATGAATGAATGAATGGATAGATAGATAGATAAATAGCTAAGTAAATAAATAAATAAAAGAGAATTCTTGTAAGAGCTCAAAAAGGATTTTAAAAATCAAATAAGAAAAGTAGAGGAAAAATTGGGAAAAGAAATGAGAGTGATGCAAGAAAAACATGAAAAACAAATGAATGCTCTAAATCACTATTGATTAGAAAAATGCAAATTAAAACAATTCTAAGCTACCACCTCACACCTATCAGATTGGTTAATATGACAGAAAGGGAAAATGACAAATGTTAGAGGGGATGTGAGAAAATTGGGACACTAAAGAACCATTGGTGGAGTTGTAAACTGATTTCAACTACTGTGGAAAGCAATTTCAAACTATGCCAAAAGACTATAGAACCATGCATACCTTTTGACCCAACAATACCACTACTAGATCTCTACGGCAAAGAGATTTTTAAAAAAATTAAAAGGTCCTACATGTACAAAAATATTGATAGCAGCTCTTTTTGTGGTGGCAAAGAATTGGAAATTGAGAGGATGCCCATCAATTGGGAAATGGCTGAATAAGTTGTGGTATAT